TACTAAACGACAATAGAATTCGAATGAAAGTGTAAAGGCCATCAATTAAGCAGAAGCGATGAGTCGAAACCAGATGCCGAGAATCAAGTGAGACAGCAAAACAGAGACGCGATAACCCAGGTAATTTATCGCATCTTGGTGCCGAAAACAATGGGGTGCACACACATTAGCTTGAATTCACGGTTGCGATGACGCCCATACAATCCCTCTCGTCGTTTTTGGTCGTTGGTTCCTTTTTTAACGAGAAATGCATATAACGGCTTCTATGTCCTCGACGTCTGTTCTTTTTTTCGGCCTTCTTTCTTTTCGGTGAGTCGCCTGAGTATTTTCAGTACAATGTGCGTAGGAGAGTGATGACCTCAAGGCGTGATAGCCATGAATTGCTACTGAATTAGTAGTAAATGCAGTGATAAATGATTGATAGGGGTACATTTACTACATTAATGGGTTGTTATTTTAGCATAAATTTGATTAACTGTACATCGATAGAATTGGAATGGAAAACAAAGCTTTTGACTTTTATTTTATAGTGAACGTTGAATCTTATTTATGTTGCAAATGAAATTTCTGGAGTGCTACGTCTCTATGAGTTGTTCTCTATGGGTATTATTCACTAAAGCTTCCATCATCATCGAAACCCTATCTCGTTGAGCTCTCTCTCTCTCTCTCTCTCTCTCTCTCTCTCTCTCTCTTTCTCAAATTATCTTCAGTTTCCTGTGGCACTTTATCCCTTATGAGTATCACCACTCTGGCATACCGCAAATGTCTTCTCTATTTGCAAATCGACTTGGACTTTTCGAGTCAACAAAAAAATATGTCGGCGACCAAAGTATAATATATATACCAACTTTCCAGAGCCACCGAGTGCCAACTTTTAAACCTGTCATCTCCCTTTTCTCAATCGACTGTGCACTACGCTTCTATATGTGTACGCTCATAGCAATCCGGCGTTGCAACTGGCCGTGGAAGTTTGCAAAGTTAGTTTTACCAATAAGCCGTCATGCGCAAAGTTTCAGCGATATTTTAAATTGATTAGTTCAAAGATTGTAAATATGATGTATAGCATTGCACACTTGCTACATTGGCAGGCTAAATTATACGTTCATAAAATCTGGTGCTGACGGTAACGAGGCAGATAATATTTTCATTAAATTTTCAATTTGGTCGTAATGGCTGGACAGCTGTATGCGTTGTTCTAAAGTCAGCTATTTCACGCGTCGAAGAACTTACAAATATGTTGATACTATATCTTTGAGTGTAATATATTCTGCGTTCTGATATTATTATTAAGTACGTAGATCGATTAACAAGTCCATTCCGAACGTTACTGATCATTAGTTTACACAAACAAGTTTGTAGCTTAAAATTCTTAAACGACCACATCAGTTCCATTTAACTGCCTTTTTGCCCATCGCTACACAAACAAGCACACAAATATCAGCAACTTTGAGAAGGAATACAAACGACATACCTTCCCTCCGCCACATATTATAGACACATTACCTCCAAACAGCTTGCGTGCGCTCGCAGAATGCGCGTGTATCTTCGAAAAGGAGATATAATCCCATTCAGCTGTGCGTGTCACGCTCGGCTCGCAGCACGAAGAGCTTTATAACCGATAAAAGTATTATACGCCGGCGGCTACTGCTACTTACTTTACGACATTGCGGTAAAATTCCATTCGACCGTAGGCTTTTTGCTTTTGCGTTCAACACGTGCGAAGGTAATTTACAGAAAGTCGTCAATGTGAAGATAATGGGGCAGTGAAGGGTGAAGGAAAATCGGGATCTGGATGGAGGGGGTAAAGAAAGTTTATGTACGGAAACTACGACCGAATGATGGATGCCAGCTGGTACAGAGATAATCCATTTGGCTAGTCATTGTCGTTGTCGTTGTTGTCGGTATCTGGTATTGATCTTTTTTTTTCAACGACTAACCGCTCAATCTGTTTGTCGTCGTTCTTTGGTACTCGAGGCTCTACGTATGCTGAAGAAACGGATAAGAATACTTTTTTTTTCCAAGTAATTAGGAAGATTTTTCTACATCGTCCGGTAGTTATACTACATATATAAATCAGTTTATATTGCTCTTATATCACAACTTACGTAAACACAGCTGATGGCATGAAGGCATAATATTCGTCGACGTTATGGAGAAATCTTCCACTATTGTACTATCGCGCTGTTACTGTTAGGCATGCGAGTTATCGATTTTTGTTTTATGTTTAGATAAGCGATACTTCAACTAGGTTTTTTCTCTTTTTCTAGGTGACATTATTAATTTTCAATAACTGAAGGAATATTCTAAATTCTTCCACTCGTTGACTTTTAGCGATGAGAAATAGAAATAGAAATGAGAAAGTAGAAGAAAAATTATGGTTACGACAAGCAATTGCCATATCTTTGAGTACGGTATTTATTGTAGCGACATCGTAAGTATAAAAATAAAGCACCCAGTAGAAATAACGAAAATGCAACAAAAAGCTTTCCGACGATAACTTACGTGAACGTTATGAATGGATATACATTTCCTGCCATTGGCAAGTTAGACGGGATCGATCCTTGAAGGGTTTTATTTCAGAAACAACCTTAATTCACGTATATTTGATAAAAAAAATATCCTTCGCTTTATTATATTTAAAACAACGACAGTAATTAAATTCATTTTCAAACACGAGAAGTTGGGTGCCGTGCAAGGAATTAGAAAAGTTGCTGGTACAGAACCATGACGTACAAATCGATTTCAGAGCATTCTTTTTTCGCTCAGTATTCATCAAACTCTTTTTCCTTTTGGTCTGTCTCGTTTTCACATTGGCGCTCTTTCATCCGTCTCTGACCGCGATTTGGTGGTTTTTGATGTTTGAATTTAACAGTGCTGAGGTTGACTTTTCCGGTGATTAATATTTGCCCAACGCAAAAAAATAAATGTTGGAGAAGCATGTCCTATGCACGATGCGTACTAAGTTTCTATATTACACAAGTCGTTTTAATTTCGCCTTCCAGGAGATTGAAAAGGATGCTCATTAACTAGCTCAAATGATTTGACCTGTTAATCGTGAATAAACATTGCCCAAGTTTGTACGCGATGCGAAATTCGTGTAAAATACGGGCTAAAGATAATGAAAAGCAAGCTCAGCGTGGATTCTTTTTATCGAAAAAATATAAGTTTTCCCAAGGATATATAGTGCAACATTTTGTAGTGCAATATTTCAGAGTCTCGCCGAGATAATAAATTGCAGAAGAGCGAGAGGAAAGTCCGATATTTTTTCGATTCATTAGCCTTTATCTTTTCTCCTCTGATTCTTCAATAAAATTCTTCAATCCCCTAATACATTCGCAATCTAAGTAGCTCTTTATGGATCTATTATGCATCGAAGAAAATGATAAAACACTGGAAAGTAAATGATGAAGCGATCCTTTTTTCGAGAAAACGAAAAGGAAAAGAAAAAAGTATAGAAAAAGAAAAGTTTAGTAATGAACCGGAAGACGAGCGGAGCAGATTAAATTGCTCCTTACCCAAGAAAATAAAGAGAGAGAGAGAGAGAGAGAGAGAGAGAGAGAGAGAGAGTTCGATAAAATTCTGGCGGAAGTTCTGAAACTCATTGATTAATTGAATATTGAAATATGGAGATGGTCTGCGCAGTGTAGTGATTGCACTTCTGATGCATGCCATTGGAAATTAGTGAGTGATGATGTTACCTTGCCCTTAACTATAGTATATTCATTCAAACGGATCATTAATCAATTCATACAATTCATATCTCGCATAACCGAATCGAAGGTTATTGCTGCACAAGCCATGCCTGGCCCGCAATTCGAAAAACAAATCCATTAATATTTTGCAGCGCAATCGATCAAGTAAATAATAAAATAAGCCAACAAAAATACCCGGATACTCGCGCAATGCGTCGTCGGCCGAGCAAATATTTATCCAGACTACTCCGTAAGCGTGGACATTTCAGTAGTAAAAGCACACATAGCGCGCATCGAGTTACGCACAACAGAGAGACAGAGAGAATGATAAAGAAAAAGAAGATTTCGCACTGAAAGTTACGAGTGGACAAGATTCCATGTGGCTATTAACCTTTTAACGTTTTATAAACTCGCCTTAATGCCAAGTTACGACACACAGTAAATTCCAGGAGTTGGAAAAGGAGGGGGAGGGGGATTAATTCTATCGAATAAAGTGTCGGAGGATTTTGCAAGCCTGACTCGAGACTAGCATTTTGAGACGTTCCAGGGCGCATACATTTTTGACCTACTTTATGTTATTGGATTTGAAATGGTGAATTAGCCATGGCTCTAGGCGCGTAATGCTATGTAGCAAGTTTCTCAACACAGTTAAGGATTCTTTTTATTTACACTTTTACTCTCACTGAAGTACGTCAGTTCAATATGCGTTGGCAGTTTCGAATTTTACAATTTAATTTTTTTTACTTTTTATGATTAGAAAGGCGTTTTATTGATAAAAATGTGAATCTGTAGTTGATCAAAGTTATGTACACGATGTACATGACAACTTGATCGGATATATTATTGGTTACACCTTCGAAAATGAATTTTATTATGAAGTCATAAGAACTGGTTGTAAGTAGAACATAAAACGAAATGTCTCTAACGTTACTTGCAATTTGGAAAAACGATGAGAGCCTAATATAAATCGCAGTTTCCGTCTTCTACCCAAGGCAGCTCGAAATTTTTCGCATTCATTCTAAGCACGAAATATCGAAGTATGTTAGCAGCAAACACGAGGAAGAAATATAGTCGAGTGCACGCACAAGCGTAATTAAGCTCGCGACACGTTGTGGGCGAGAGAGCTGTTAATCTCGGCATCGTCAACCGTAGCCCTCTGCGTCGGCTTGACAAATTGAAAAACAAGGGTTTCTATTTTGTCGGTATTGCAATACAGCTACATCTTGCCCTTTCATAAATCTCGAACGTTATTCTATACTGCCGGTGTTTCTTTATATCGCCATAAAAATGCGAGATTATGTGACTTACGGGTTCCATCGAAGCGAGTGGCGATGGTATCAAGAAAGGTGTTTTGAGGTGCGAGCAGACCCTTTCTGGCCGGCATCGGAGCCAACCCAACGCGCTGTAAGGCGCTCGAACCTGAAATCAGATTAGAATTTCGTTCTTTTTACTTTAGATTTATTGAATTTGTTATACATGCTATTTATTCATTTCTTTTATCAGATACGATTAATAAAAGTCTATTGATAATCATTATCGTATGAATTTCAAGTTAGTAATCATTGTATGTTTACCATAAGAAAATTTTTATCTTATATTGAACAATTTACAAATCTTACAGATACTGTCAATTGTAATATACATTTTATTCGTAAATGGCGCAACAAGTATACATTTGATACGTAGTTATTAAATGCTTGCATGTTATCAACGATTTAACTTATGAAATTAGACCTCAAAACGTGTAGATTCATACGATTTGTGTGTCTAAAAACAATGTATAAAGCATTCTCTTTTATTTATTTATATACTGTGGTTTAGCCGCTGAATGGTTTAAATACAGCGCATTTAGGAGCCATAAAGTTTTCATTGTTACTGGCTTTGAAGTACATAAATCAAACTAATGTCTTTCCAAAATATCACTTTTACGATTTATATATGGAACTATCTAAGACTTATCTATCTATTCGGATATATTGTTATTTCGTTGTAATACTGTACTGTTCAAGCAAATTCTCCAGGACGGTTGTTTCATAGTACAATACGACGTCGCAACGAAGAAATATTTTATTACAACGAAGTAAAAGCTTACACTCGTAAGATTTCAACACAACACACATTATTCGAATGCCACAGTTCAACTAGAATTTCAACTTTGATCAGAGGCCCGAGAGAGTTAATTACGTTCGCCGTACACGGAATTACGCAAATATCCTGCCGGTACATATATAATCCTGAAGTGCCCTACGGGAACTCATATAGATTTCTGTTACCTAATTAATTCCGGCTTTTGTTTCAGCCATCGAGCTCGCACGCAACGCCAAGCATTGCATAAGCTTTTAAATCACTTTTAATAAATCCACATAGGCTTTATTTTTAGCTAAACAACACAATGACGTCATAATGTTACGCTTATTCCGCCTCAGTCGCAACAAAAAAAAAGAAGAAAACGACAAAATAATCGATTGCATGTATTCTCACTATGACAAACGTCACACAACGCGTTTTCATTTTCACTTCCCTTATGCATCCATAAAGGACACAAATATAAGCCAATTCGCGCGAGCATTTCGTTATATACGGTCGGCTTCCCAGCCTTCGCCGACGTGCGCGCGTCAAAAACCCCTCTCTATTCTCGTACGTTACAGCTGCTTCTTGTCAGACGTCATCTCTGTTTCTTCTGCGATGCGTGCGTATATCGACCCTGACGGCCGATATTTCCTTATGTCCGTCATAGTGTTTTACCCTTCATCGATTACTGATTTCTAACCTATGATAGTTCTTATCTCTATTTTCTCTTTTTTTTTCTTTCTTTTTGTACGTCGGGCTTCTGATTTGTTCAATCTCCTATCATTATTTATTTATATTTTTATTTATTATTTTTCTATATATACGCTATTCATCTCTTATATATCATTATTTTCGATGTGATCATTAGTTTTTAAGAGAATAACGATTTCAAATGGCATTCGTTCTTTACGTCTATTAAACTTATGCATCACGAATAAACATAACCGATGTATAAAAAATAAATTATCGAACTAGAACAACATGTAAAAGTTCACGTTTACAAGTACCTTGATGAGTGATTCATTTATTTTCGTAGCCTTTTTATGCGCAGAAATAAATAGTATATAGTTAAGAGGTCAGTTGGAGTTCGGGTTTTAATTTGCATCGGTCGATATATTTTTATTTGAAAAGCTTTTGATTCTGAAATAAATTTTCTAGATAAAAAAACTTCATAAAGCTAGAGTACGATTGGCACATATTTTTATATATCTTTCATTGAATATCGAAATTCTGCAAATGAAATTAATGTGTTAATAATCAGTAGGAAAATCGTAAATAAATTTCCTGATTTGTCATTTCCACGATTCAATTAATTAATAATGACATTTCAGCTCACGGGCCTCTTTCGAGATTCACTTATTTAATTGGAAGTATATTGACGAGCTGCGCGAGCGCGTTATACGAGTCTCTTTCCCTGATTACAATTTTCAATAGTCAATAAGCGAACGAGGGATACATTAAAATAATTGAAAGTAGACACTGCGGTTTTTCCTGCTCCAGTCAAAAAAGGTTTACGTACACTTTTGAAGATTATCACGTTTGGTCGTGTGATGATCACTTGAAGCGAGCAATTTCCCGTCCTTTTTTTAACGTACTCTGTTATATAGGAAATTGATGTGCTCGTGCCAGTCTCTTTCGTGAAGAAGGAGCCTGTCCTTTTACCTGTTCCTCTTCTGTCGCCGTCATATTGCATCGTTTTGGCCAGTTTAGTCAAAAATAGGGAGTAAAAAAAGCAGGAATGTAAAATAATTGTGATTAATGGCCATGTGCTTGTTATGTTGACTGGAGCCTACTTGTAGCTGTCCTTTTTAATCCCGCGCGAGCAATAACTTACGCGCCCTCTCCGCAATCAGATGTGCTTGCATCAACTGTTATGCTCTCTATAAGCTCGCGCGAGCACGATTTATCGACGTCGATTTACAATGATGTCTTATCGAATAGGTACTGTTCTTTGCACGATTCTATCAAAATTTTGCGTTGAATTTTGCAATTACAGGAAAAGCCCATCAAGCTCTGGACCTTGTCTCACTGGAGAGTCGAGGTTATGGACGTCAATCGTTTCGACGGTTTATCGATGCAAATAATTTACACACGGTATATCATCTGAAAATTTATTTAAAAATTTATAATTATTACCGTGTATTTTATTGGATAAAACATAAACAAATTTCCGCGTCGTCGCTTTTTAATTGATAATTATTGAACCGTAGGAATTCCTTTATCAATCTACGTAAAGCTTTCGATGCGTATGTTCGCATACGTGTATAATATATATACATAAATGTTTTAAAGCTTCATACGTCTGTGGAGAAAGGAACGAAAATAGTAAAATAAGTACACGCGTTTATATGCGATATATCTGATTTCGCTTTAATTTTTCTTTTTCAGATGTTTATCGCGCGTAATTAGGATTCGCGAATCGAATAAAAAAGTTCCTGTTTGAGAAATGATAGACTACAATTTACAACATCACTCAATGCTGTATCTTCGAGATAATGTACTTTTACTCAATCACGATTCTAAAAAAAAAAAAAAATAATCTGACGTTTTCCGCGCAGTGAAACGAGAAGAACGATAATAAACAATCTTTCTTCAAGCAGAAGCATCCTTTTTCATTATACCTTCCGCGCAGATTCCCATTATCATGTAATTCGCGACGTAATAATTTTTCCCTCAATCTTTACGCGTACCGTCGTCTCCTCGATTTCCCTCGCAATGATTACGAGTCCTTCACTCTCACTTTTTTTTTGCTGATGTAACAAAAACAAAGGCAATTAACGATTGCGCCTGTGCTTCCTACTTTTCTTTTTTCATGCAAGGCACTCGAGTTGTTGTGTTTGTGTGTACGTGTGGCGTGCTCACGAGACGTTCGCCTCACGTGCGCCAGTTTATCGATTCTTACTGAAGAGAGCGACGCTCACTTCTATTCCCAGTGTTTTTACCCTCCCTCGCCTTTTTTGCTCGTTCGTTCCAAATAAAATTCGACTTAGATTGGCAGCTCCGAACTATTGATTAGTAGTATCTATCTCTCTCACACACGCGAGTTGACTGGAAGGAAGATACTTTTGCAGATAAGTCGTGCTACTGCTACTCTCGAATTGAAGGGTCTATAGAGACGCGAACTTTGTGATAGGCTTCGCGAGCAGCGGGTCATTGACTTCTACTAGTCTACCTGCATGAGATTAATGTGTCCACTTTTCGATCCGTGTGCTACTAAAATAGATTTTGAAATGCGCTTCCTGTCCGAAAAGCGAACTGTTTGAAATGTTACATTTTGAGCTAACCCATCATTCGAAATATGATCTATTATAATATAGCAGCATCTCAATAATCATATAATCTGCATAGAAATTGAAAAAGTCCTCATTCAGCGCAGGAACTGCACAGTTCTCCGACATCGGTGTTATCATTCCGTCGCTGCTGCAAGCTTTATACTTGCAATTTTCTCGATCCGGTACTTTCTCCTCACATAATACGCAAGTAAACTCGCAGGCGGACACAGTGAGAGAGAAAATGAAGCTTTGCGAGAGTGAGTTCGTCGACACTGGTGGAGAACAGTTTGAAAGACTGTGTGAGTTTCCTCTCTCTTGTGAGGTTAGTTTATTTGCTGATGCACTAGAATGTGGACATTTTCCCTTCATCTTAGCCTCGCTGTTCAGAGAGGCTTATTTATTCAGGGTAAAGTGTGTTGGAGGGTAGTATAGTAGGGATGCCACGCAGAGAAAGCTTCTGGGTATAAGCTGCCAGTGATTTTGCAATTTTACCGAAAAGTTACATTCCCTTTTCTATGACGATCGTGATTTATGTGAGTAAGCGAGCTTGTAAACTTTTCTCGATTATTGGGGCCGTGTAGTTATATTATAGGCGTTTACGAACGATTAATTTTTCTTATCGTTCGGGTCAAAACGGGGTTACAAAAATATCGCTTCTATATCGATTCGAATGAAAACGTTTAAAAATAAAATTCAATTGTCGCCGTCAAGGCTCGTTAATTGGCAATTTAATGACCCTTAGTAACGATGAGAAGCCGCTTTAGCCACAGTTCACTATCAAAATACAGGAATGTTTTGTGGATCAACGTCGCGCGCTTACGGACAATCAATTGAATGTCTCGGTTATAATGTAAACACGCGTGGGACGTTATGCTTAATTTTATTCATTTCAGCAGCGATTATTTTTGACCTCGCAAAATAATAAATTGGCACAGGAAGAAACTGCTCGTTATGATTAAACGAACGAGTTCAAGAGCGAGCAGCAGAAAAATTGAAAATACGCAAGGAAAAAAGAAAAAAAGAAGAAAAGCAAGGAAAGAAAAGAGGTGTTATTTCCGACGAGTCGCGGAGTATTTATGTCGATTCCCACGCTGTGCGCCAGTCTAAAAAAAGCCACCTGTCGGTGCAGTTTTAGTGTACGACGATGTTCTCACCACTGGAGAATAAACAGCCGCCGCGGCGCACATACACGGGTTCTCGACCTGTTTTGGATCCAAGCCAAAGCTTGGCACGGAAGAAGAAGAGCAAAAAAGATCTAATCTTGAAGATTTATCTAGGACAAGGTCGATGATAATACGCTCAATAGCATCTGTACAAATAGGCTATGAATTTTGCGATTGCTAGTTATTTAGCTGCTGATCTGTTTCGTTCAATGAGGCGCCAAGTGGGTTATATTGTAAAAATAGGCGCGCCTGACAATCGATACATCTCTTTTGTATATCGCTTGATTTAAGCTTCTTTTTGTTTGGAAGGGGGGGGGGGGTCAACCTGCGGCGCACATATACACATATCCGTTTCAATTTTTTTCCACTTGTCGGAGCAATAAGCTCGGCGCTGGTGTGTCATCAAAAGTTGAATTCTCTTTCATATCTTCTCCCAGAGAAACTCGATGATTACTTTTTTCGATCTCTGATAGATAGAGAGAACTCGATCTATGTTCGATGCGGGTAATGAGAATAAATCAAGGGAAAAAGGCCGAGGGGAAAGAAAAATGTCTTGCGGAGATTATTTGAACTTGCGATGGATCTTTTTGATCTTGATCTTGTACTTTCGCGGGTGAAAACGAGACAGTTGATCCTCTCTCTCTCTCTCTTTTCATTGTATTAATATTAACATTGATTAAGTAATTCCTCTTAGACGGATTGAAATTGTGAACAAAGATATTTCTACATTTTACAGACATTGTTAATCGATCTTGTGAACGTACATTACTTGGGATTGTCTGTTTTCAGAAAAATTTCTTTTCGTACGTACATCCAAAAAAATTTTTGAAAGTCATGGAATATCTGTATTTATTTGTACGTCCCGTAAAAAAATCTACTAAGTTATTTACAACGCAGCACTTCTGCCATGTTATCTGGGAATGAAATATGATCATCTGAAGTATATCTGCGAATATATATGTCGGCGGTTCCCACTAAATAGGTGAAAGTATTCTACAACCGCGCCACAGTGATTTTCAACTATCTCTACGCACACAGGTTGAAAATCTAAAAGAAAGAGACGCTGGTTTATCGCCACGGTCATCTTAAAAAATACCACCAGAGAAGGTCGTATGCTCGTGAAAAAGTTCCGATGACATCTTTTCTACCCAGCACACGTACATACACGCACACTCTGCCAGAATTTTTATCTAGTCTGCTGTATGGCCAGCGGAGTAGGCAAAAGAGGTGACAGCCGTTTGGATTTTATTAAAGAAGATAATATGTTGACAGGCATTTTCGTCGGTGACGACGACGCAACGATTCGCTGCAAAGTTCTAGCAAACGAGTTGTGCGCGAGAACGTTGGGTTTGTGAAAATATGAAAAAGCTCGAGCCATAATTGATGAACGGAGAATTGAGTACCGAAGAGAAAAAAAGTTTTTGACTAATAAATTCGCCTTACTCCATCAAAGTTGGACGTACAGCACACTGCGAGTAGTGAGAGATATTTAAGACTCGCTCGATAAGCCTCTCTACTCTCTGCGCGTGCAAGAGAACGGTTTAATCTTGGACAGGCAGAGTTCATAAATAGAAGTACTTAACACTTTCTTCTACTGCGCAGCCGAGAAAAAAGAAATAATACATGTACGTATGTGCTGAGCAAGTAGTAGATTCTCGTGTTCTCGAGTTATATGTATATGTAAACTACTTAAACGAAAATACAAAGAATAATAATAATGTAAAAAGGCGTTGTTAACTGAAGCGTATCATTTGCTCGGAACAGTGGCGGTATTCTGGATGACGTTAGTCGTGCGTTAATAGACGTGCGTACATATTGATCTGTTATCGTGTAGCTTATCAAAGCCACGGAACGAGATAGGCATTGATATAATAGCGAAATATTCGTCGGAGGGGCTGGAATTTTTTACTTTACTATCACGTAACGCGCAACGCGCGGACGGTATAACTTTTCCCTCGAACTCTAATTATAGCTTATTGTTATCGCAACGCAGTCAGTTCTTTTGTTTTTCTCTATTTATAAATGCAAGGCATAGAAGGTTCCGATTGGTTTTATCGCAGTTTTAGGCTTAGCCAGAGAGACACACAGCACTCACCTCTGGCGACCGCCAGTAAAGCTTCCATTTCGCGGGATTGTGCCGGGCGAACTGGGGAAGCGTGCAGCACGGTATACAACAGAATCGTACACTCGAATGAAAATAGATGTCGAAAGAGAGGAGAAGAAGGGGCACGGGCAACGGCGAGACTGTACGCGCGCTCTTCTTTTTTATAGATCTCCATTTTCGACTCACAGCCGCGCGCGAAGTGTTGGTCAAAATCTTTTGTTTCTTTTTTGCTTTGCATTACGGCGCGGGACTCTCCGAACGGCAGTTTCCACGCGCTCCCGATCAGATTTTACTTTATTAATAGCACGACCACCAGTTTTTTGCACGCTGGTGAAACGATGAAAATTCAGTTTGATTGCCGTAGCCCCGTAGAGCCGCGTCTTCGACGAGGAAAAACACGCGAGCTTGTCTGTCACTCTGCTTGCAGACGCAGGCAATATACGTAAGCGAACGCTTTATCGTGCGCGTGTGTCTGGGTAAATGTCGGAATTGAAAGTTGTTCGTATTTTTTTTCTCTACCTTTCATGTCGCTAGCTATGCAGAACTTTTTTCACCGCGTCGAGAAACGAGTGATTTAAGACTTTGCGAAGACGAAGTCGTTATTCGAGAAACTACAGTAATAAAATCGATATGATTAGTGGAAAATAACGCTGAGGATGATTGCCTTTAAATTAAACGCGGCATTGACATTATAAGATAATTCTTATATAAGTTCGACTTGATGGCATGATGTAATTTTAATTATATTATATCTTTTCGATAAAGCTCAGGCTATAGTAAGGTCACTTCGGAGTATTCAGTTCTCAAAATATTTGTCCGTTCAGAGGCATTAAGATTCTAAATAACCTTCACTGCTGATCGAATGTTTAGATCAAGCTGGATATTTCGGCAAAGGTTAGCCATTGAACTTTGACAGTTTTTAGCGATTAGTTGTTCTAGGCAATTAAGTATGCACCAATGTTGAAGTGGCATAAGGAAAGCAGATAAGTATTTTCGAGAAAGAGCTAATTAATTGAGAATATCTGAGTATTATAAAAATATTATAAGCGCATCCGTAGTTCGCGCTAAAAATATTCTTTCGCACAGGTGGCTCCTTCGATCAAAATATTCGATAGCGTGTTGTAAATAAAACATTGCGGCAATTTGGGAATAAATGAAGAAACCTCCGACGCTTGCTGCCAAAAGCACGGATTTGGTCTGGTCGTACAGTTTCCTATTGTTCGAGCCTAGGGAAAAGGAAGAAAAGGCATTAGACATTCGGAACTTGGCAAAAATATGTCGGGTTTACGTGTCGTAAATGTCACGAAGGAAATTAATTTTTGTAAGAACACAGACGATGATTCATCGTGCCCGCAGGACACGTAATACATTTCGTAATTCACGAGCCAAGCGTGTAAGTAATGTCTCATTATACTGTACATTATTCCCTGTGAGTTCGTACCGTCACGAGAAACAAACAAAACGGAGCTTTTTCATTGTCGCGTAAAAGGAAGAAGAAGAAATCCCATACCTTAAGCAAAACAACAGTGAAAGCAGGCTTCAAGGCCTGCCAAGCACCAACAGTAACAACTTCTTCGCCATTGGCATCTCACAGCAAAATAGAAAAAAGCAGTCGATCACATGGTCGTTTCGTTTTCTTGATTTTTACACACCTCACAATCACCCGCAATAAAACTAATAAAAACAACTGACACTTGGGAGAAGGAAATTTTCGGTTACTTTATTATCTTTCTCTGTCGAAACAACGATCGCACTCGTTCGACTCGCACTCCCCGCTAGCAAGCGCGAAACTGAGGCTCTGGCCCGGGGCTCTGTAGCTTGATGCGCGGGTCTCGCGCCGGCTCTGCCTCGCACAGAGGCGCAACATGTGGGAAAGTCGCGCTTGCGCGGCAATATACCTATTCCACTCGCCAGGACCGAGCTTTCTCTCTCTCCCTACGACAAGAGAGAGAAGTAAGATTATTGTTATTGGTCGGAGAGCTTGCGAGATTCCTAACCCTCGTCGTTTTGCTTAATTGAGGCGCGAGACGTTTTCTTGCACGGATTCTAATTGAATTTTGTTTCTAGACCAATGGATATTCGTGCTTAATATGATCCTCTGACGTAATAACACGCAATGCTAATATTACGCCATCAAATTTGCTTTTTTTATCTTCGTAAGTATAATATTTTCGACGTTATTATTCGGTTGTTTTCTTTTCTCTCTGTCAAAAGTTCATCAATTTTTTCTTTTGGTACAGGTTGATAGAAGCTTGATTAAAAATTGAAAAATTTCACTGGTGCTCACGATTCTCAAGTTATTGCTCTTCTGCGTGCCAAAGAAAAAGTTTTCTTTGTGTAGCAATATTCCATTTGTGTGATTGTCTTCCATCGAGAAATTTATTTCAGAAAAAAACATCGCTGATTACAAACTTCTTTTGCTCCTGACTTTTTCAATGCTTTGCAATTCTTTGGCAGATTATTACATGCAGTCTGTTAATTTATCAAAGTAAGCACTTTTTTACAGAGATTATTTAAAAAAATAAAACTCGCGTTAAAGTTAAAATTATTTCAAATTATGCCAATCATTATCAATAGCAACGATACAAAGTGCTGCATATTTTTATTTTATAATCAAAACATTGAATTGTATTGCTTACTTTATTATGACTTTCAAACGTTAATAGCGGTATCACAGAACATTGCCTCCCTATACATATTAGCTGATAAGTACTAAACTTAATGCCATCGAAAATTAAAATCCTATAAGAGGGGTCAATGAAAAGGCAAACAGAGTAGCACGATTCGGTGCCGATTAAAAACACTTATCACGGAATTTTTTAAATGAGTTTATAGTTCGATTGTTTGAAATGATAAGTAATAATCAGATCAGTAGGTAATGATAGCATATTACAGATAAAATGAGTGACTATTCGATTTCAGAGAAAAAGTGAGTTTGAGTGAATAATTCCATATGAACAAAGATTAAGAATTCCAGGACTTATAACAATTGACAAGATTTTCAAAATATGTTATTGTATTCATAGATCGGGTATACCACAAATTATTCAAGACCATCGATTATAATGTATAAATAATCTGTTGAGAAATCTGCAGTTATTTTTTTACAATTAAGAAAACATTTCTCTACCACTATTATTACATATATTTATTATGACATTGCTATAATACAATAAATAGAATAATATTTGATGGATATAAAGTTTATAAAAAAACTGTATATTTTTAAAAGTTATTTACTAGATGTTGTTAATAAAAGTTTCGGAGTAAAATTGAGCAAAAGTGAAAAAATAGATGAAATATTTGTAATATGAAGAGATAGTTATGTTGTTGTTTGCTAATATATAACAATGAAATTTTTTCCTTTATCAGCATTTGTTTATTACAAATATTATTTACTTATTAAAGAATGAAACTTTTACTAAAAAATTTCTTAGAGGTATGTGTAAGTCAAAAGATTGAAGAACCTATTACGCTTAGGTCCAATAATTGTTGATATAATATGTACCTATTGGTGTGCTGTGACGTGTTAAGCATTCTCAAGAATGTTATTTTTATCAGTCATTCGCATGTTCAAGTTTTGCTCTTTTTACGCACTTTTGACTCGAGATTTCACGTTGTAAAACACTTCCACATCCATAATTTTCATTTTTTACGGTTATTTGTTTTTAGTCAACAATTGATTTATAACTTATACTAAAACTACAGGGTAAATATTTTTGTGTGGTATGTATAAAATACAGGAAGGTTAATATTGACGGTACGCTCTAGTACTTTTATTGTTGTAAAAATATAAAAAGTAAATTAAATAAGTAATCAGTGCTTATTTGCTAGATAATAGGCATGCCTTTTAATATTCGATGTAAAATTGGCTTTCTACTAGTGTATAAATATTTGTATAATATAAAAAAAAATTCATAAGAAATCTCGAAAAAAAATAGTGAAACATAATTAACGAAATTTTCAATTTTTATCAAAATCATAAAGGTATCCTAATTTAATCAGTAGTCCAAACCCCTGAATCTATACTAGGCACAATACACCAACTTGCGCCTGAACGTTGTTTTCAATGACAATTATCTAGCCGACCAGATCAAGTACGAGACTACTAAATATTTATATTTAGTGATTATTATAAATATAAATGATTATTAGATTTTCGTGAAAACTAATGCGTGAAAGATGTTTTTCTAGAGTATTATAAGAACATAGTTTTGTGTTTGCAGTCACATGGATATTATTGATGCCAGTACTTGTTTATATTGGCATTAGATTTCATCACTGAAAAAAGGAGTATTTTCATAGCTTCCCATGACTTTCAATTCGTGAATATCAAGTCACGTTGAAATTACTCTCTACCAACTTTTTGCAATATTATTTCATTATCAAATCAATCCATAAATTATGTGTACAATTTTGAATCTATACGTATGATTACATAATTCCATTGACGTATAATAGATTTGATGGATATACACACATAGTAAGTATTAAATTAATTTATAGTATGGTACATTATATCAAAAGAAAAATGATTATTTTAATACTTATACTATGTTTTTATTGTAAATTTGGTTTAAGAAATAAATGTACAATGCCACGATTAATATTTTTGTAAAATTAACAATTGTTTCAATTGTTATGTACATCAATAGTAGTATACATCGATAATCAATTGATCTGTATCGATTGCTGACATACTCAGTCATAAATTAGTCATTTACATCTCAATATGGTATCCTATCAAAACATATAGCAATAGCGCGTCGATCCTCTTGGAATTTGACTTTGACTGTATGATAATGCTTTAACGTTTATTGTCTAATTCATTAAGATTATATGCATCAAGAATATGATTTTCTATTTAAAAATTTCTATTTAAAACGTTAACGAATCTGTATTTGAGTTTCAATAAAATTGCAAATGCCGTAATACAAAACCTAATGTTGTCGACATGGCTTTTACTTATGGCTTTTACTATGATTATAGCACTTTGAATCTGAAAATATCATTTCATTGTTTTACATCTAGAAGTTAAACTCATAGAAATACAATATATCCCCTAATACAACTCTTAAACATTTCGTTAAGTCAATAACAAAGATAATCGTGCTTTTCCATATAAGCTATAATAACATCAATTCGCTCAATAGACACATATTCGATCCTGAATCGTTCGTACACCGTGCGCGGGTTTGTGGATCGAACAAAATCAAAGGTAGATAAAAAGTGACGAATGCAAGACTATAAACATTAAGATTCTTCATACCCACGGAAATGTCGTCGAGAGGACTTATCTTAGTATATTGCGACGATCAATTGCCACCTGGATATTCCCTTTCCAATGTTGCACACTCCCCTTAAACTTCTGTTGTCATTATAGTTTGATTAGAAGATTTGCCCTAGTGCAGGGACTGTCTTCTCGTGATATTGGCCGAGGATAGTCCAAGTTAAAGGTCTAGGCGAGAGTGTGATGTAGCAATGCAACAATTGGTAACAAGTTAAAGAAAAATTGGAGCGCCGGAGGCCACAAAGGTGTTACGGCACTTCGATTCCCAACTAGAGTGTCGTGTAGTAAGGCTTTTATGAATAAGAAGGACCGAATCTTTGATTTGCCACAGTAAGCACGAATGCAGTAATGATAGAAACCGCGAGAGCGATACAGGCAGAATATTAATTTGTTGTGACAAATTTATAAAATATGAATTAATAAAAAATTAATTTCTTACAATATTACAAATATAGTATTAGAAAAAAGTCGACAGTAAGAAACTATAACTGAATAAGTTACAAAAACTCTTCCAAAATTTTATAAATAAGTGTAAAATGTTGCAATAATTTTGTCTTAACAGCCATTTAATTCTTTTACTCAAACACTATACCTACGGAATTTGTCGCGCTAAAAATGGCTTGGTTTTGTAAATTTTCACTAATATCATCATTTTATGTTAAGAATATTTCAGTGGAATTATCAACAGCATCGGACGCTATATCTGCGACAAACACGAGATACTGCTATACTAAAAAAAAGTAGGACGAGCAACGTGCGAATATGCTTATATTTAGCAATCGTCCTCCCCATAAAATTTATCGCTCTGTCACACAAGTGCTGCTACTTCAGCGTTAACTAAAATGTACAGCAGTAGTAGCGCTCAAATTCTTATTATGCTGTGTCCATAGAATTCCATCGCCTTTCAACTTCAACAGCATTGGTATATTCACTGTGACATTTAGAGCTTTTTATATCCCTTTTCCGAAGTTGAATCTACTATCAAGTCACTGACTATAAATTCAACGCCAGCAGCTTTATTTAAGTCGTCTACATCCACACTTCTTGCTAATGGAGCAAAAGAACTGCTGCGCCGACTTAATGACTTAATATCTCTATGTTTGCACACGCAGTGACATTCAATGCAATTGCGCATTCAAACGATGTCCTTTTACAATGCGAATAAGAGCACCCGAATGATATGATTTCACAATGGCATTTATTAATTATAGCGAATTTTCTTTGTTTGTAAATTAACAAAGTAGCAACAAATGATATCTATCGATTAAGGTATAGCAACTGGAAAATCATGATGCTTCGCCTATATAAATACACGAAAGCGATTTCTGGCTCTACTCGCTATAACAACTCTACAATTAGGAATGTGGATAATGTAAATAATAATAGCTATACACAACGTTAATGGTTGAGAAATATGAGATGCTCGAATTGCAGGATTCAAAATTGAAGTTTCTTCGTCCATAAAATTACC